CCGTATCCCAAAACCTCCACGGAGGAGTTGAACCAGTGTGGATGCCATAAGAGGTGCCCAAGAGGTGTCCCAGAGGCAAAACAAAGCTGCTTGCATGATTTGTTTGGTTTCTTCTATCGATGTCGATGTCATGAACATGTGAGCTTGTTGAATCTGCTGTTGGATCGTCATGTATATGTAATGAGGGACTGAAGAAAAGCAACGCAGCATCATGAGCATCACGGGAAGTCACAAACCAGGCGTATCAGATACACCTGGTTTATGTATGTTTGTTTGAGCATCTTTGTCGAGTGAAGTGTCAGCCATATGCACTGAGATGCCGAAGGAAGCTCAAAGGCATGTGTATCTGATATGCCTGGTTTCTGACTTCCCGTGATGCTCATCATTGAAGCCTTGAACCCTCGCGTAAATTTCATGTTTCATGCCCCCCCTTCCAAACTCAAACAGTGGCCTACTTCACCTGCCACCTAAACATAGCACTATAGCACGTACCGGAAGCGTCCCAGGGGGGAGTTGAACCCGCGGGGGGGGGGGGGGGGGGGGGGCCCCCCCTACACGTGAAGTTTTCACGTGATTCATGATTCTCGAGGCTGCGAGCCCTTGACTTGCTAAAGCAAGAGCAACTCCAGCTAGCTGATGCTAGCTTTCGTGATAAGGCCCCCGCAGAGACATTCCACTCCGCCATTGCATGTTTGCTTGCAAAAGTAAAGCAGGTGTTCCTTTTTTCTTAGCACGCAGTAGCTACGCATTCTGCCTATCCTTTCCATTCGATCAGACAAACTGTGGTTGTACATACATGTGTGTGTGCTTGGTTCCTGCTGGTTAGTTTGCAGAGCTGGTTACCGGCATGGTCAATGGAATTTGAAGCTGACATCTGCAAGAACTTGCAAGTACCGGCTCATAGTTTTGTTCCAAACCAACAAACGTTCACTCCGGTTTGAGAACCTTCCTCTGATTCATTTGCCCTCCTGCGTCGAGAAACAAACCAACATTGCACCAACAACATTTGAGCGGACCGCTGGCGGCTTATTGTGAGGCTAGCTTATATAAACTCGGCAGAGCCGCCTGCTTTGAAGAACTCGGACAGCAAGCTGAACTGTTGCGGAACTCCTCTCAGTCGCACGGAGTCTGATTGACAACAGTTGGACGAGGTAGTTTCCGGACCAAAATGCAGCAGATTGACCACTTCGCACGCTATCTAGCTCTTTGTCAAATGATAGCCTACAGATTTAGACGACTATCTCCACATGTCTATATATAAGTACAGTATCCGAAGGTGGAGGGTGAGAGAAAGGAAAGTGCTATATAGTGATGTGGAAATCAAACAACCTTTTTCCAAGCAGTGCGTTGCAAAGTTTTATGCCAGCAGCCAGCACTCACGGACAACTGACTCTGTAGTCAAACTTTTGGCACCAAAGCTGGGTCCAGTTTCTGGGGGCCGCCCCTTCTTCCGAAAGCTACCACCCTGCCAGATTTTGAGTCCCACTTTTGGGTCTATGAAGCTGCCCATGGGATCTGGAACGCTGATTCCTTCTGACAAGTCGCAGGCTGCGTCAGGCAACACAGCGGCAACATGTTAGAGTCTGATCCACACGATGCGGGCCCACCACGGCGAAACCAAACGTTCAATGTTTTTGCGGCGACATAACTGGGCCCCTTCCTTGCACATGGCAAAGTGTTTTTCTGGGATAGCATGGCTGGTCCACGATTACGTTGCATGTTGCCATGCCATTTGCATGCGCTGACAAAAGCTGAGGAGTGGCCTGCGCTCATGGCGTGCAGGTCGTAGCGTTTATATACTGGGCTGGACTGACCTGTGGGGCATCGATTCCCATAGGCACATAGCTGATCGGTGTCCCGGCGTGTGAGTCTCAGCCTATCGGCTACTTCGCATGGATGTCATGGGTTTCCGACACTACAGTTTAAAAAATAACATATCACGGATGCAGCATTACAGTACGTGATTCCAAAGTAAGGCCACCAAAACACACCAATAACATCCAATAACAGCCTCAACACTTTGGTTCCCTACTATAGTATCTGCGCGCGAGTTGGCTGCACTGCAAAAGCATGGATTGGACTGTACCAAGTTTGCAATTCTGCAGCGAAAAAAACACGCCGGAAAACCTTGCGAAAAAAATGGAAAAGAAACTTCGGTGCTGGAGGGCTATATATATATTGTTTTTTGTAGCAATCCTATACTCATAGCATCTAGATGCATCTCTGCAACTCTGTAATGGACGATATGCCTTGCCAATTCGTCTATTTTGCAACATCTGGAGACAAACGATAATTCGACCTTTCGGCAGCACACAGGAACTAAAGATACTCAACCTAGCTGATTGCTGCTGTCGTCATCAACACCAAATGATTGCACCCTCAGTGCGCCGACCCCTCCTGTACCATTTGTGGTCATGACCCGCAGCGCAAGAGTGCCAGCATTTTGGGGGGAAAGAGTCTTACTTTTGATTGCACGGTGTTAGCTGGCGCGTGACTACTTTACAGAATGTTCCTCCTGAGATGTGACAAATAAGTTCTTTTGACAGACCACAAATGAGGGCACATGCACAGACGCAGCTTTGGCGCCTCTTCAACTTGTGAGCCAAACGCACATAAAACATAGTAAAACAACAAATGTTGCGCAGCAGCGGGGAAACATGTTCAAGTCTTGGTAAGGCGTTTCAGTAAAACTAGGTCTTGCCCAAAGCCTTAGTCCGGGGTATTTTTAAGCGGAATTGGTTCAGGCCTTTTCGATGTTCCTACGTTCACGTCATCACCCATTTCAAGAAGAACATATCACACTCATGTTTGCCAGAACAGCATCATCTTGAGCCGACAACAACACCAGCACACACACACTCGATATATTGCGCACTGAATCAAGTGCCACATCCCACACGCCCACCTATGTATGAACGCCTAAGAGTTCCAGGAAAAGGTATGTAATGCGGTCAGACCATCTTAGCGACATCAAAATCCCAAAGCACCAAAGTTGAAACACCACAGGTCCAACACTCAAAGGTAAAGTGCGTGACTGCAGTGATGGAACGGATGCGACGGCTGGTCAGCTTCTTCTAGCTACAACGGGACCAAGGAGGAATTGTTCAGGTAAAGCAGCAGGTACGCCGAGTTGATCAGACTCGGTATCCGATGAGTGTGGTAGATTCGTTCAGTGCGGCCCCACAATCATGCCGCGCTCCCCTGCAACTTGGAAAAAGCCTGCAAAGCAAAATCAATGGATTTTTTGTGATTCCAAGGGGGTCACACACACGCCTCCCACAAGGGGAGGCAAACAGTTTTTGCATATAAACTAAGGCTCCAACCTGAGAAGCTGCAAAACGAAAGCCAGCGCTTCCATTTTTGAGGTGGCCTGAACAATGGTTTTAGGGCAGCAAACGCCTGGCCTCAGGCCACCTTGAATTTCGATTGAAAAAACATTCTGTTCACACATAGATAATTCCCATCCACATTCAGATGAAGCAAAAAAAGCCAAAAAATGCACATTGACCTTGCACCTGGTTGAACATACAATTAGTTGTCATATGATTGGAAGTGCATTCGTTCAAGTAGAAAGTTTTAGAGCAAAATTCGAGGTGGCCTGGGACCAGAGGCTCGCTGCCCGAAACTATATGTTCAGGCTACCTCAAAAATGAAGATATGCGAAGCAAGGGTCCCGAGGTGTCTCTGTGACAAGGCTTTTGTTAAAACAGACAGTTTCTCAAGCTAAATTCAAGGTGGCCTGAGACCAGGGTTTGCTGCCCTAAAACACTCTGTTCAGGCCACCTTAAAAATGAAGGTCTGCGAAGCGAGAGCAAAGGATGCACATTGTCCTTCTGTTGCTTGAATGTGGCCTTTTGTTTACTTAAAAGTTCAAGACCTCCCAGCTGTTTCCACCTCTTCGCTTCCCAGTCTTCCCAGGGTTCATATAGGGCGCCAGGCCATTTTCAGAATCTTCTGGATTTGAGCTGTTCGAGTTCCTATTGAAGGGTTTCTGTTCTAGTTGGCGAGTGCGTCACCACCCGCTCCAAAAGCATCGAAGCATCACCTCCCAGAATTTACGTATATCTTTCTCGAGCCACACATGCACAGCAAACCACAGCTTTGAAGTCTCATTCGTGCTTTGAACTTGTATAGGTGTGTAAGAGGTATAGCAACATAGCATTTATACGGACCCAGGGTAGCTACAATTCTATTCCTTCAAAGCTGTGGATTGCTGTGCTTCAAAGCAGTGGATTACTGTGCGTGTGTAGAGGTTATCGAGCGGTTGACGGAAAGGGAACTTGAAGTACTATACCTGGTAGCTGCACTATAGCTACCCTGGGTATCTATACCTGGCAAGGTGCCAACTACACCTTTCCATTCAGATGATGCAAATGATGCAAATTGCATTTCTTGCGTCACCACCCCTCAAAAATCACCTCCAACACAACCTCAAAAAACCTTCCCTCGATGCACCCTCCTCCCCCAGCATGTGCCGAGTTTACGTGTACCTTTTGCGGGCCACCCCCCCAGACCCCCTAACTACTCACTTCGTTCGCCAAACACAACTCAGCTAGCTCCTTCTACGAAGGCTGGCTTTCGTAACAAATCCCAATCGACCTTCAAAAGCTTTGGCCGCTCTGGTCACCTAGTGCCATGCCAAAATGGCGGGCAGCTTGAGTCCCCTATGGACACGTTCTGGCGTCTCGAAAGCTGCCTACTCAATTCATTCCGGCCAGGGGCCCCGACCTACCGAAGCTACCGCGTTTTACAGTGTTTTTGGCTTGTCCCATTTTTCGTCTCTTGCGGCGCAAGATGGGTCAACATGGCCCAACATAGGCCCAAATAATGCTGGAAATGCGTGCCGCACCGGGGTGCTTCGTCTGCATCGTGGGCGGATGCTGGGCTAACATGGGCCACATAGCCCCAACATGTGCCAACATAGCCCCCAAGATGGGCCAATATGGCCCCAAGATGGGCCAAGATAGCGCCAAGATGGGCCTACATAGCCCCCAAGATGGGCCAACATAGCCCCAACATAGCGATAAGATGAGCTAGCATAGCTCCCAAGATGCCCAGATAGCCCCCAAGATAGGCCAACATCGACCCAAGCTGGGCCAACAAAGCAACAACAACAACAACAACATCCCCTTTGCTTGGGCCCCTGGCCGGCTGTCGGGCGTAAGCCCTTAAATCAATCTTTCATCACGTCTTGGCGAAACTATGGCATAAGCCTCTCGCTGTGAGCTACTCTGTTCTCCGCACTCGTCGGGCTCACCCTGGGCTGGCACAAAGGCCAGACACACTCGAGATACTGCATACTGAACTGAATGCCACATGCCACACGCCCACCTAGGTGTGAGTGCCGTCAGACCATCTTAGCGACATCAAAACCCCAAAGCACCAAAGTTGAAACACCACAGGTCCAACGCTCAAAGGTAAAGTGCGTGACTGCAGGGATGGAATGGATGCGACGGCTGGTCAGCTTGTTCTAGATACAACGGGACCAAGGAGGAATTGTTCAGGTAAAGCAGCAGGTACGCCGAGTTGATCAGACTCGGTATCCCATGAATGTGGTAGATTCGTTCAGTGCGGTCCCACAATCATGCCGCACTCCCCTGCAACTTGGAAAGAGTCTGCAAAGCAAAATCAACGGATTTTTTGTGATTCCAAGGGGGTCACACACACGCCTCCCACAAGGGGAGGCAAACAGTTTTTGCGTATAAACTAAGGCCCCAACAAATCCCAATCGACCTTCAAAAGCTTTGACCGCACTGGTCACCTAGTGCCATGCCAAAATGGCGGGCAGCTTGAGTCCCCTATGGACACGTTCTGGCGTCTCGAAAGCTGCCTACTCAATTCAATCTTTCATCACGTCTTGGCGAAACTATGGCATAAGCCTCTCGCTGTGAGCTACTCTGTTCTCCGCACTCGTCGGGCTCACCCTGGGCTGGCACAAAGGCCAGACACACTCGAGATACTGCATACTGAACTGAATGCCACATGCCACACGCCCACCTAGGTGTGAGTGCCTAAGAATTCCAGGAAAAGGTATGTAATGCGGTCAGACCATCTTAGCGACATCAAAACCCCAAAGCACCAAAGTTGAAACACCACAGGTCCAACGCTCAAAGGTAAAGTGCGTGACTGCAGGAATGGAATGGATGCGACGGCTGGTCAGCTTGTTCTAGATACAACGGGACCAAGGAGGAATTGTTCAGGTAAAGCAGCAGGTAGAGTGCGGTCCCACAATCATGCCGCACTCCCCTGTAACTTGGAAAGAGCCTTACTACAAAGCAAAATCAATGGATGTTTTGTGATTCCGAGGGGGTCACACACACACACACACATATATATATATATATATATTGGGCAAGGTGAGACCTGAAAGATTCAGATCATCTACACAAGCAGCATGCACGGCACATGTTTTCCTCGTCGAGCATTTTCCGTATCACTCAGCAGTGAGCTGAGCTGGTTCATTGTGCAAAAGATGCAGTGTGAGACCAAGAAGGGTTGATCAGTAGCGGACCATTTGCAATAGAAAGTCATTGGGAAACCATGCTTGCATTCCTGAAAACTCGACCCTCAATATCAACCCACCAATCGACGTATGTGCCACTCTGGCTCCACTTTGAAAATTCCGCGAGTGTTATGCACGGAAATGTGGCACCGGAGAAAATCACAGATCGAGCAAGTCGACATTGCTGTTTCCGCTCTCGTTCGGTTTCGAGGAGCTTGGGGTCTTGTTCGCACCTGTCGGCAAGAAGGAACTCAAAAAACACTGATGAAAGCCGCATAAGGTGCTCAACCTTCAAAGCAAAAACATGCAAAACCCTAAAGATTCATCAACACGCGAATTGATCCTTTCTGCTCTGCAGATTAGCACAAACTTGAGATTCTGACTCGAAGGGATGGTGGGCGACTGCGCTTTCCTATACGCCACAGCCCTCTTCGGCCCATCCCTTCCATCCTTGGTTTCAAAGAAGCAGCGAGGAAACATCTGTCGGCTCATGTCAATGCTGAAGGGTGTGTCACAGTCACACAACGGAAACTGCTGCAAGGACATGCAAGGACTACACATTCAAATTAATGATTATGTTTCATCCGAAAAGGGCTGACCTGTCGCTCGATGTTCTCTGAACAGGTGAGCCCTAGCCCATGCCGGTTGCGCTTGCCACACCTCGACTCCAATACGTCGAGGTTGAGTTGCTTCTGAACGGATCAGGATGGATGAGGTACACTCCCCCGTTGTAGGTTGTTGTAGGTTGTAGGTGGCTAACCTATTCATGTCTATTCTCCATTCTTCTGAGTTCTTCTCCCGTCTTTTCTTCAGGGCAGGCGTTTGTGAACGTTGAAGCGTAACAACTGTGCCAAGATTCACTGTCGCTGTCTGTATCATCATTGTGTCCAACCGCTACAACACCATTCAAGATCAACTGGCCTGGGTAGCGGAGGCGACGACGGCTGTTCAGATCTGATTTCAGAGTATGTCTCGAGTGGACAGTCCTCCAATCATGAAAGATCTATAAAATTAATTTGTTGCTTCAGGGGTCCCACATTGATCTTCAGGCAAATGGATCGTGGATCCATATAAAATCTGTTTCATCAGGATACTCATAAAAATTCATCTGAAATTGATTTCGAAGCGAGCAATCCTCAACAATAATATATATATATATACCTGGATCATCCAATGGGTGTCCAATAGACTACCCTACACTGCTAGACTGGACCTCCGTTGGACACCCATTGGATCCTGATATCTATATATATATTAATGAATTATACATAATTATACTATTACAATACTATTATACTGTTGCTACAGTCCAGCTTTGCGCTGTTCTAAGAAAAATCAGATTTCTGGCTGCGTCATTTGCTTGTTCCCTGCTTCATCCAATCAAGACACATGCAAACATATGCAGACCGATGAGACCAATGGGACAGGACCCTGAGAAGCTACTAGCAGTATCCAAATCCTACACATTCCTACACTGTCCTATGCAAACCTCCAAGCCGGCTAAGTCAATAGACTCACTAGATGTCAATGGAGACACCCTCCCAACCCAACATCTCTAGCTCAAACTCTGCAGAACGCTTTTCTCGTCGAAAAAACACATCACTCCACCCCAACCACGGTCGGTTCTTGAGCTGGGCCCCCGGCTTTCTGGCTTTGCCATATTGTACCTGGGACCCCACGTCACCCCAGGTCGCTGCACCAGATCGCCGTCACGTCGGTCGCTCAACGACTCTCGCACGTCACGGTTGCGTGGGCCCACAGTTTCGTCGGACGTCTCCGGGACGTCCAGGGTTGCTGGTTGATGTACCAAATTAGATGGTTTGACATCTGATTCTTGAAGTTCTTTGCTTTGGATCTTTGGGCACCAAATGAATTGCAGGTCGGGTAGACCCCCGTGCAGGGTCCGTAGTTTTGCAATCGACTGAACGAGTGGGAGGTGTGTCGGATGATGTCTCGCGCGCCCTCGCGTACACTCACGCCTTCGTTTGCCATCAGCCCGTCTTCCTTCACATCACATAAAAGCATCACACACACACACGCACGCATCACATTCACATCACATCACATCAACCACCTTCTAGGGAAGGCCGAGGCTCAACCCCCCTAACTTCCCTTGAGTCCACCCCATGAAAGCCCACCCCATGGTCCCCCCTGGCCTCCCTGGGTCATTACCTGCTTGTCCTACTTCGACGATGGCAGTGGCATTTGAGGTAAATACTATAGACATCTATAGACTTATACCGATCTTGATACTACAAGTATCAAGCTCCAAGTCTTCCATTGCTCCAATCAAAACACCCAGACTCTTCCCGACTCGAGGAAAACATCTCCTGCGAAAAACCCACCTGTCAACCCACCGTCACCAGTGTTTCTTGACCTATCAAAACCACCCAAAACTCCCCAGAAACCCCCTCAACACCCATGCACCACCCGCCTTGCTCCGCCTTCCACGTCCGGCCGAGGTGCAATTGGCCTCCGGTGTAGCCGGCGGACGAGCCACCCGACGCGGTGGAGCCTCCCGTGGAGCCACCAGAGCCGCCGGTGGAGCCGGCCTCCACGTGGCCTCAGGGCGGGCGTGGGCAACGCTCCACGGCCCCAGGCGTTTCAGCGGCCAACCGGTGTTCTTCGGGGACTGAGAGAGTCGCGATGGGGTTCTTTCTTGGGGTTCTGATGAGGTCCATTGATGTCCCGTGCTTTTCAAGTCTTTGGTAAAATAGGTGTCATTCAATGTCATTCAATGTCTTCTCCGGCGAGTGTAAAGAGCAGCCTTTCACGAGTTTCCATGTGCAAGTGTCTCGACTTAGAGCATTGGATCTTGTTTGAATGTTGAGTCTTCGCATTCAGCTGTCTCAGCACCCAGCTGCTGGTGGCAGGTTTATGACTCGCATGACTCGCATGTGCATCTCCAGCTGTTTCGAGCCTGTTGCATTCGAGCTTCGGCGCATGTTTCACCAGGTTTCACCCGACCCTACAGCATCTGCGCTCTCCAACCAAGGGGCTACAGCATGCTACTGTGAACTGAGTGGCCACTTCGTATCCCCTTCATGCTTCCTCTCTGCTAGCTCCACTTCACCCCAGGCCCCAATCACCCCCACGCGGTCACCGGTGCACGCACCGCCGGTCCGGCGTCGGTGTGGCAGAATCCCTTCGCGCCTCGGCACGACCTCACTTCGGAGTCCGGTGGCCTCGGACGTGTGGCGACGTGGTGTCGTTCGTCTCGCGACCCGGGTCGCTTCGTCTAGTGATGTGTCAGCGGCAAGTGCTTTTTTTTGGAAAGCAGTTCCAAGTGATTCCAAGTGTTCTTTCCAGAGCAATTCAACTGATATACGGCGCCAAATTGAGAGCAGTTCGACTTGCTTTTTCTCAGACCAACACTAGACTCTTTTCAATGTCTCAACAGGGTTTTGTGACGCTGTTCGGCTGCATTGGAATTCGGATGATGCCAACAGCATGAAAAATCGGCTGCATTGCTTACATATTCTCGCGAGCTCCAGGGCAGTCGGTGTTGAATCGTACGGGTATGTTCCATGGCGAGCACCGACTGAAGTAGAATGGAGGTGAACACAATACTCGGGTATGTTCACCTACAAACAATAGCTGTCTTGGTGTTAAGCTTGATTTACCCCTTTGTAGACTACAAATGCTGCAGCCCAGGCCCCAGGCTCCAGCATTATTTGCAACTTTGTGTTTCCACTGTCGCATATAGCCACTATCATCATGTTGAAGAAATATAAACACCTATTGTATGAACATCCAGTAACTTGGTAGCAAGATTGCTGCAAGCTCCTTCTCTCTGTCTCTCTCTCCCCCTCCCTCCCTCTCCCCCCCCCTCTCTCTGTCTCTCTCTCTGTCTCTCTCTCTCTCTGAGGAAGGAGCCTTCGTTCGAACCATATTCTGCACCTTAGCCACCCAGTCATTCGGCGAGACACACCTGTCACCTGTGTGGCATGATCATGCATGATCGGATGCATGATCTAGAGATACGGAGTCTCTCTTTGGCGCCCAAACTGGAGCTCCCCAACTTGAATTCCAACAACACAACACGGTCCACCCCATCCCGTGGCGCAAGTGTCAGCTCAGCTCGTCGAATTGTAAGCTCATCGACTGATGAACACTGTCGTGCCACGCGGTGGATTGCCAGTGAAGTCACACTCCCTGAATGATCATGAAAGTGGAATACCAAATGTTTGGTGCTTGGAAAATGGTCATTGGGGACATGCCATCCACGTAAACATGATCATTTCAGGGAGCGTATGTCACAACGTCATCATGCTCGGCTCTCGCTGAGGACAGAACTCTTAAGTCATTGGTGCACTCGAATTTCTCCAGCAGTGACAACCGCTGAACTAGGTCAAAGTAGCGACCTGCGGTTGCCCGGTTTGCCCAGTCGACTGGCTGTCAGAGGTTCTGGAATTCACAAAAAACAGTCCTAGAGGGACGTGTCTTGCATGGCTGAGCGAAGTGCCAGCCATCACGGCTATTGAAAAAAGATGAAAAAAGGAACGCTCTATCGAAAACCCTTTACAGGCTTCATCAGGTCCAAAACCGCGGCACTGTTGTGCTTTCAGCGGTCACAGCTTTTTTAGAGGGAGGTTCCTGTTGCTGGCTGGAGCGCACCTTCTGCTGTCTCCACCACCAGTTCTGGAGCGCCATCCTTTAGCAGCTCCTCCATCAAAACCTGAAGCACGGCGGGTTCAACAGATCGAGCGAGGACAGGACCGAAAATCCGGCGTTGTCACCAAAGCAGGACCGAAAATCCGAAGATCATGTGGGTCATGGCTGTCGGCCATGGTTTTGGGGAAGAACCACCTGCAACTGAACCAAGTAGATCCAAATATGAGCGACAAAATCTATGGTAGTTGTAGGAACCCTATTGGGGATGGTCATGGTCGATCCCCCTTGCTCTTTACAGGCTAAAGGAACCAGGTATTCTTCTCCCCACACGACGGAATTTGGTCCAATCCTAGTGGAGGGAAAAATCTACATCTCCAAAGGAGGAGACCTGGGAGATGGCCAGCCGTGCATGCAGGCCATGCAAAAAATGAACAACGGTCACCTAGCCAGTAGGACAGCTGAGTGCAACTCCAAGGCAGCATAGATGCGGCGCCATCTTCGACCCTGGGATGAGGAAAGGAACATTCCATGCCGCCCAGAACTCGTGAGAACTCGGAGCGTGAGAACTCAGATGCTGAGAGATGCTTGGAGTGCTGCACGAAACAAAAAATGACCAGCGTGGTCGCGCATCCAACCAAGACTACACTATACTACGCTGCCAATCCATAGGACGAGAGTCCACTTTGGATTGAAGATGATTGGACCATTAAAAACCTGTAATTACAACTAAGAGTAGAGTCTACGTTAAATACCTGTCATGCCATTTACAATCCAAATCCAAGCCAACCGGCTTTGATGCGCCTGTGGCTCAGCCAAGCACTCTCGAAGATGCATCATGATCTCTCGGCGCTCCTGGCACGGCGACTCGGCACCGCCACGGACGAGCGAAGCCGGTTGTTCCTTCGGAGCGAAGCCAGTGTTTCTGAGACTTGGGAAACCAAAGCCGCTGGCCTTCATGCGACATATGTTGTTCGACTTCTGTCTTACGACATGTGGCCTTCATGGAAGCTGGAAAAGTTGGATGTTTAAACAAACTATATATTTATATGTATATATATATACGTATATATCAACTATATAATTGAATCAAAAACGGACGTATGTCTGCTTCACATTCTTGCCTGTGGCGGCTTTTTCCGAAAGCTTTTTCAGGCGGATGGCCCGGCCTCTTCACCCAGGCGAGTGGCTTCAACCACCAAAGCTAGCACATCCTGGCGGGGCTCGACCAAGGCTCTCATGCCCTCGTTGACCTGCACCCTGGCAGCCCGCTCAGTCCGTTCTTCAACCAATCACCTCTCAGACTCTCAGCAAGTTCTGAAGAAATGGATCCCATCATATCCCATCCTGGATCGTGAAAGGGTAAGGAGACAAAACATGACATCCAAAATATATGAATAGCATATTGGGACAAAAAACACAACGTTTTTGAGACGAAAAAGGATTCCTTTGAGACAAACATATACATGACAAAAACGATTCCTTTCTTTGAACATACATACATACAATATATATATATATATTTATTGTTTGATGTTCAGAACCGTCTCCGGGTGTCGCTGAAGAACTGGTCCGTCGAACCAAAACGGGGTCCTTGGGAACTTCAATGACCTCGGCGGGTCCGTCACTGGTGACGACGAGTCTTCTTGCTTGGATGGAGACGCTGCTTCCAAGCACTCGGTTTTTTCCTTGAGACCTTTAGACCTTTCTTTTTGATTTTTTTTTGTTTGCACCTTTAAAATCCTTAAACCTTTAGACCTTTTGTTCCTTTTTGTTAGCCCGCTGTGCCCCCCTACTACTTAAATGTCTGGAGTGCACAAAATACCGTCAACAAGCGGCTGCTCATGGAGCATACCAGGGCTCCAACGTTTGATTCGGTGGCACGCTTCAAATCTGCCTGACATTGTGCCAGGCCTATGATACTGTGCTGCTGGTATGCTCCCATCCATCAATGTTCTTCCACACGGTTTGCTTCCAGCTCGAGCGGATCTGCTCTGGTTTAACATATCACAAAACTGAACAAATAGAGAAGGAAGGCAGTCGATTGAAAGCTTTGGCTCAACAAAAGAAGTGAGAGCCTGCCTTTATAATAATCGAATGAAGAGCCTACACCTGTGTCTGAAGATCTGACTTGTGCATATAACATTATATAACCCAGACCATCCATGTATGGAATATATGCCTACATTGACCCCTGAACCACCCCAATGTAGGTAAAAAGGATGGTCTGGGTAATGACCAGATCTTTCCCGTATGTGGCTATCTTTCTGACTGTGCTTGCTTGTCTGTCTTCTTGTGTAGCAAGGCGCCTGCAATGGAGTCTGATTACCTCCAGTGAAGCGTTGTAGGAAGGCTGGCGCCATTCCTGCGCAGATCTCCGTTGCGTTGCTGGCCCCCCGCAGCACTTCACATGGCAATTGATCATTTCCGAAACACCTCCGATACCTGCCCTTTATACTAGGAACAAGGACGCTCCTAGGGGCTCTTGGCCTTACTGCTAGGAACAAGGACGCTACTAGGGGCTCCTGGCATCGCTACTAGGAGCAAGGACGCTACTAGGGGCCCCGGGGCTCCTGCCCTTACTACTAGTAACAAGAAGCTAGTAGGGGGCTCCTGGCGTCGCTACTAGGAGCAAGGACGCTACTAGGGCTCCTGGCGTCGCTACTAGGAACGAGGCCACTACTAGGGGCTCCGATACCTGCCCTTTATGTCAAAACCTGGCAGCTCAGCTAGTCAATGTCAAACTTGCATCCAGCACCGTCACTCGTATCACCACCTTTGCAGTAGAATGGCTAACATTCAGCATTGGTCTTCAGAGACTATAATATATATATATATTTGTATATATATAGGATTATATAGGCATGCACTAGAATAAAGAGACACCACAACGAACCTCTGCCTCTTGGGAAAGCAAAGCAACCAATTAATATACATATATACTGTGAGTATATATAGTTAAAGTTTTATAATATACTAAATTTAAAACCATCTAAAACCCATTGGTTTCAGTCTGAGACATCTCCATCTTGGCTCTGGCAGTCGACCGGCGCAGCTTTCCTCGGCTCCGTTCGTTCCCTCGGCTTCCTCACCGGGCCGAGCCGCTAACGACACCCAGCCGCTCTGGAGCCAAGACGCGACCGGGTCGAGAGACGAGCCCCTTGGCCCGAGAAACGATGAAATTGATGCATATGAGTCATATGAGTAACATATATCATAGTCATATATATATATATACCCCCCCCGGGGTAGCTACCCTTTTTGTACTTTTACATACTTTTACTGGTATTTGCTCTTGGGGCATCAAAGAGGGAATGAAGGCCTCGTGATATTCCAGGTCAGTGCACATGACTTGGTGCAACTGACCTATTCACCAAGAGCACGGATGTGTTTTTTCTCTTCGTGCCCCTCAAAGCTCGACCTCCTGGAAGGCGGAAACTAGACCAGTCTACCCAACCCGAATCGAGAAATGATGTCTCTCCCTATATACAAAAATATGCACCCCACACATCCCCCATATCGATCTCTGATCTTCTCACAAAAAAGGGGGGCCCTTCGGGGCCGTTCGGGGCCCTGTGGGACCTGGGATCAGAAAACCTATCCTCCAACATTCCTCCATCAATCCTCCTTTTTGTTTTTTCCCTTTACACCTTTAGACCTTTAGAGCCACGGACTTCAGGCGATCCGCGGACTTCCTTGGTAGCTTGGGACCTGCTTTGGGACCGCAGGTATCCGCAGGTGGCATCCTTTTCTTCCGCGCACCGTCCAAGCCGAAGAGCCTCGGAGCCGCTCAGGCGATCTGGTGCCTCGTCTCGCGGACGTTCGTCTCGCTGAACGGAGAACCACGAATGGAATGTCCTCCTAAACTTCCTGGTTCATCAGGATCATTTCAGATGTCAGAAATCAATAAACAATCATACATCATAGATTCATAGATCATCATAGATCCACCCTTTGCAACCCTTTCCTTGGCTAACTGCCTTCCCTAGATTGGTTAGTGGATCAAATACTTCTTCTGCCCCAGTTATTGCATGCCTCTCAAAGAACCTCCCTTAACCGCCTTGCCTGGACTCTTCCCAGTGCACATGTGTTGCTCCCCTAATTCACTTGGTGAGGCCAGTGGTAGGAAGTCGTCGGTCCGGGAAACCTAGCCTCCTACAAGCCTATAGGTCTTGGAAAACCTTGCTGGGAATGGGAGCTGGCAAGGGACTTGTCAAGGAAGGTCGGATTTGGCTTGGTAGCCAAGTAGCCTGCCGAGCACATGCAGCGCATGACTCGATGCTGAATGTGTGTGGTCTCTCTCTCTCTCTCTCTCTTTCTCTTTAAGTTATATACTTGTCTAAAACTGGAGACAAATATACTGCAGGCTTCAATGATTGCAAGAGCCTTCGAATGCCAACACAAACTATACTCATACTCCAACCACTCGAGCCTTCGAATGCCAAACTCCAAGCGTCAACACGAAAGCTTGCACCGTCTGAGCCCGACCGCCGTCTCACGCCTTGTTGCTTTGCGCGCAGCCCCAGCGGGCGCTCTTCCGTGCGCTTTTCCACCGGCGAGGCCTGCGAAAAGGGGAGAGCGAGCGAGCACGGTGCTGCTGTGTTCTGCCACGAGTTTCGTGGATGTTAAAAAAAGAAGTACAGTACCTACAACTTGTTGCAATCGTAGTTCTTAGCTGCGTTTGGGTGACCGTAGCAACCTGTTCTAAATGTGGCGCCAAACAGCGTAACAAAGAAACACTATTCCCTGCGCCACCCCCCCACGGGACGTCCCCGCAGTGTTGGGATAGCATTGTAGCGAGCAGCTCAAGCACTTTCAAGAGGAGTGCCCCGGGGGGGGAATGTCAGGAGTGCAAACTATAGGTAATGGACGGTAATGGACACTGAATGGGCACTGGCATGCAGAAGTGGAGGTAACTGCCTTGGCAATGAGGACTCCCATGACCAGGACAAAGGTCCCAAGCAGTTGTTCTCCACTGCAACCTCACCACACTGTTTGCAGAAAAATGCAGCAAAATGCGGAAAGATGGAAAAGCATGTTCCAGCGGAGAGACCTTCATCCAACCATACAGCCGCCAAGATGAGCACCTGATGCGCATCTCCCTTTCACTCAGACCACGAACAAAACTGCAACGCTCAAGCCGATTGAGGTTCATCTATAGCAAAAGGAACCTAGTGATGGCCTCCCCCCTAATAGCGATGCCCATGGTCTCCAACCTATAATAGCTTCTTGTTACTACAGGCGAAAGGATTCTCAGTGAAACGATTCCCATGTACTGCCAAGGGACAAAAAACCAGCTGCAAGTTGCCAAACATATGTTGCATCACAGGGCCCAAGTATCGCACTGAGGTCCATTGAGACCTCACACCGTGTGGACACCTTTCGTCCTGCCATGGGCCTATGAACCGTCCCAGTTTTTGCAAACGCACTGAGGGCCAGGCAAGTTCAGCAAAACTGCAGCAACGCAAGAAAGCAAGGTGGCACTCACAGCATGCTTCGAGGCACTTGGCAGTCGCCGAAAGAAGCCTGCAGTGGAAACTGAGGTTGCCAAGTAACGCTTCAACTGACTGATGACGACAAAGGCCCTGTTGTTGCAAACATTTGCAAAAGCATAGAGAGTCAATGAAGGGGTGCAAGGCGTCCAAATGCTTCCAGCTTACCCACCTTGGGGCTATGCATGCATGGGGTAAAGGACGCCTGCTCCTTCCTCGACGATCGCGAAGGGGAGCGTCAAAAGGAGGGTCCAAGCTGCTCCCCAAGCCTCATTTGGGCGCTTACAGCTCGGATCCTGTGAATCCACCATTGACATCCATTGACAGACTTATCCTTCTGTTCGATGAACACAAGTCAGCTGTACTCCAAGTCAGTCTGCCATCCTAAGTCATTCGATATCATTAAATTATCGCGACAACACGTGGGCCATACCACCCAAGAAGATAACGAAGACGTTCTTTTTGAACCGCTGCTGGATGCTGATGTCTTCATTTATCAGCTATGCACCTCCTCTGCCAATTCTTTCTTTGGTGAGGGTGGGTGGGAAAACAAAGCCATTTGACCTTGCAGGGATAGGGACTTGAGCCAAAATGGCATCAAGCCACTGTCCCCACCCAGGCCCTACTCAGGGTTGTCACCCAGAAAATTCCATTCTTCCATTTTCTTCTCAGACAACACGTGGGCCATACCACCCAAGAAGATAACGAAGACGTTCTTTTTGAACCGCTGCTGGATGCTGATGTCTTCATTTATCAGCTATGCACCTCCTCTGCCAATTCTTTCTTTGGTGAGGGTGGGTGGGAAAACAAAGCCATTTGACCTTGCAGGGATAGGGACTTGAGCCAAAATGGCATCAAGCCACTGTCCCCACCCAGGCCCTACTCAGGGTTGTCACCCAGAAAATTCCATTCTTCCATTTTCTTCTCAGACAACACGTGGGCCATACCACCCAAGAAGATAACGAAGACGTTCTTTTTGAACCGCTGCTGGATGCTGATGTCTTCATTTATCAGCTATGCACCTCCTCTGCCAATTCTTTCTTCCGTGCTCTGCGCAGAAGAGGTGCATTTCAGACAGTTCACCTTCGTCACGTCCATCCCGAAAGTGAACACCGAAGCCCCGTAGAACCAACCGCACTTCGTATGCCAGGATGTGACGGGTGAGGCCACCGGCTGCTTCTTGTTCTCATGTACTGTTCCACTCTTCGAGAGGATGACTGGTGGTAGTAGGCCTTGATGATTGTTGGAGATCTCCTCCCACTTCAAAATCGATGCATCGAGCTGATCTTGTTTGTCCTTCAGCCTGTCCAGCTCTTTCTTCAACCTCTTCTCCGTTTCTTTGCCTTGTTCTTCGCCCTTCGTTACCACCAACTTCTCCACGACCCGTTCATTTCCTCCTCTTCCCGGGTTCACACCTGCTAGGTTGATCGCCTTGTTCATCACCGGCATGGTTTCCAGGGCCTCTTCCGCATACTGTAGGATCACGTCGCTCTTCCATCTTCCCAGAAAAGCCACCTGGGGCACGTGCCAACCCCGTCTGATGTATTGCAAGGCCCCTGACCTCCTGGCGGAATGCCCTGAGATGCTCTGCCCAAATAAGTTCCTCCAAGCTCCTATGATCTGGTTCTTTTCTATTGCACCTTCGCTGTCGCCATGTACTAGATGATCCTCCTCGATCGGGACGTTGTCCAAAGCTGCTTTCGAAATCGCCAAAGGGCAGGGTTCTGACCAGTCGCATTCCTCCGGGCAACAGCACTGCAGAGTCCTTTTCAGTCCTTTGGCTTCCTGATCACACTTCGTGAGCCTCAGGGTCAAAGCCACCGTCTTCTCCTTCTCGTTGATCACGATGTCCTCCTTGTGGACTGCCGCCAGTTCCACCTCCCGCAGCATCCAGACGGTCGCAAACCCAAACATGAGGGCTGGTCGGTGTACTGAGCCCTTCTGCTCTTCGTTCGTCTCGATCTTGCAGGCTTTCATCCACTCCACTTCCTCCACTTCAGCCGCCTTCTTCACCGGCCCCCCTTGCCCTCTTCAATGCTCGTGCCACTTGTCCGAATGTCCTTTGTAGTCTCTGCGACCACGTCTTGCCCGCTTCAATCAACATCTGCTTGTACTCCGACAAGTAGGTGACCCCTGCTTTATAGTCCGCTTTCTTGAGTACTGCGCCCACTCTTTCCAGTGTCTCCTCCGACCATTGTTCTGCTGTCCCCTTCGTGCCCAGGTTAAGCAGAATCTTGTTGACCGTTTTGCGCACTGAAGCCTTTGCCCTTCTCGAGGAGTTCGCATAGTAGCCCTCCTTGAAGTCCTGCAGGCTCTTGTCCCGTTGCGGTCGGTTCAACCTGAAGATGCGAGCCGTCTGTATTGCTTTCTTCCACTTCTCATTCTTCTTCACCCCTTTTGTTCGCTCCGGTTCTTTAGGCATGTCCTTCCTCCGTCTCTTCTTCTTCATCCCTGAGCCTTTACCTTCGTCGCGTCCACCACGTTCGCGATGTAGCCCCCGTCTCCCCTGAGAGCCACTCGCCTTCAGCCTCTCCTCCCTTTCCGGTTTCTCTTTCGAAGTCCTCCTTCTCTTCACCAAATGGAGCAATCCCCCGCTTGATTCACTCCCCCTTGACAGCACTTCCATTGGAGGTACCGGTGGAAAGCTGAAATCGAACTTCTCTTCTCCCCATTCTTCGCTCAGTCCAAAGCCTTCTGCGTCACGATCTTCGCCCGGGCACACCTCCCTTTTGTCCGCTCCAAGTCTCACAGCTGCCAACTGTCCTTTGTGTTGAGTCTCCTGGTCACCAACCACTGCATGTCCCTCGACTCCCTCACGGACTCCCTCCATGGTGAGTAGTTCGACCTCGGAGAATTCGACCTGTTGGTTGAAGTCCCTTCCAGTGCCGTGGTTCTCGTGGAAGGTGTGTCCAGCAAGTTCGGTGTTGAAGGCTCTTCTGTCCCCCTTTCCCTGCTGGCCATGTTGTTCAGCAGGTTCCTCCATGGCTCGGGTTGGGGTTCTTCTGGCCTGGTCGACCTTCGACGTATCCCTGACGCCGGCCCCCAGTCCAGGTACGTGTCGAGATAGTCCCGTGGCTGGTCCATGTCCCAGGCTTCTTCCCACTCCTCGTCTTCGGAGTCCAGGGTATTGTTGATGTAGTTCTCGGTTGACTTCTCCGCCTTCCACCACGTCCATGGGTAACCCCGCGGAGTGTGGAGTGTCTTCCACCATGCTATGAACTTCTTGCAGCCAAGCCAGGCTGCCCCGACGTGCGCGAAGATGCCGATCACGATGAGGTAGAAAGCCCAATAGGCCAGCCATGGTGCCGGCTGCCCACCGAGTTCCTGTGGGCGTAGGACGATCGCGTCCGCTGGAGCTAACTCCATCCTTGGGCCCTCACCACGTGCATTAACACACACAACTCACGAATCGGCTCGATCGACGACGTCGCACACCAAACCGGACCTTCAGCCTTACCCTTCAAACTCTTCCGCCGCCTCCTGTGTCCCTTTTTCAAACGATTCCTTCAGAATCTGGCCATCGAGTTAACGACAGGCCCAGGCCGCCACTAAGGCCTCGCCGTCCTGCCAGTCGGCAGTGTCGGGGCCTGGCGGGTTCAGGCGGTACCACGCTGCTGATCTTTCCTGGGGCGTCTCGATTGAAATGCCCTCTAAGGCGACCGGCAAGGTGGTGGTTGCCCAAGTGTTTGGTCTGCTCAGGAAGTCAGCTTCCTTGTTGGCGACCCCAGGGAGATGCGTCGGAAGGAGGTCCGACAAGCCCAGCGCTTCGCACACCACCGCCAACTCCGCCCCCAAGAAATTCAGAGAGGCGTTACTGTTTGAAAATTTCTGAGTGAGTGCCAGCGCTGTCACGGAGTCCGACTGTACCCCGATTGCCACGTTCACTGCGGCCAGGAGCTTACCCCAGTGTTTGAGGGCCACCAAGATCGCCAGCGTCTCTGCAATGCCCTGCGAGCTTGATTCGCCCAATTGGAAGCCCAGCAACTTAGCATCCATCTCGTTGATGGGCGATGCCAATGCCTTCGTGACTCTTCCGTTCACCAGAAGAACAGCTCCGATGCCCAGGGGTGAAGCGTCCGTCATCACGCTGGCCTCCGCTTTGCCGCTCTTGTACAGTGCGTACTTGCGGATCGGTCTTTCCTTCGCCGCCTTCAAGTAGGACAGGAGCCAGGTTCGTGCCTTCTCCACACGCTTCACCGGGATGAGATGGTCCTTGGAACGGCTATCTTTCCTTTGAGACCTTCGAGCTGCCTCCACCCCTGACTGAACATCGTCCTCGTGGCTGTACAAGGTCGCATACAGCGACGCGGTGACCCACCTGGCTCGAGGCAGCACGCCCGCCAGCCAAGCCACCCTGCCAGCTGCCTTTCTTAGCTCTGCCGTCCCAATCATTCCTTTCTTGTCCCAAGCTTCCAGCTGTTTTTGGAGTTCATCCGTGAACTTTTCCGGGAGCGTGACCAGCAGGTGATCGTAGTCGGGCGCCACTAGCTTGAAGTGGATTCCTATCCAGGTCACAGCCGCTGATCGTTCGCCCTTGCCCAGAGACAAACGCAGTCCGAGCGCTGCCATCGTGTGGATGATGCACGACAAGGTGTGGTTCCTCTCATGCAGCTTGCCCCCCAGCACCCACAAGGAATCGTCCAGGTATACTTGATGCATTCCCCGTTCCGCCGGTATCATCGATTGCAGCAGTCGGGCTACGCAAGCTGCCACCCGGCTCCAGGTCAGTGGTGCAGTTTTGAAGCCGAAGAGGAGAGCTATGAACAGCAACCAATGCTCGTCGTCCAAAGCTGGCGCTAGACAGTGGCCCTTCTCCTCCTCCGCCACTGCCAAGTGCATGTAGGCATCGGATACGTCTATCATCACCAGCTCCAGGGTCTTGTCCTGCGGCCTCACCAACTCGGCTTTCGACGCATGCATCCTCCGAACCATCGCTATGGCGTCCGTGGGTCTGGGCAAGATCAAGCGCTCGGGGAGTACTGCTTTCCTGTTACCTCCTGACCTCCTCAAGTCTATTATGATCCTTCGCTTCTTCGCTCCTCCCTCCTTCGTCTTGACGATGAGCCCCAGCTTGGAGATTGTCGTACCTTTGAAGCCCGCCCTTTCGACTTCTCCTTTTCTGGCCTTGACGGCATAACCTCTGTCAATCAGCCTGTCGATTTCTATCTTGGCATCTTCCTCCTGCTCCCTCACTGAAACGTAGTTGCCAATGTCCTCCCTCAAGCCTTGTGCAGCTTGCCAATCTTCTGGGCGTTGAATTTCCTCCTTCAAAGCCGGTGGGAAGATGTTGCAAGTCTTGATGGGGACGTTTATGCCAAGGGGCACCCCCTCTTTGATCCACCGGTGCACCTCCGTCTCCGGGTCCCCTCCTCTTCGGCACCATGCTTCTATCAAGTTCCCATCCATCGGAGATTGATAGGCCCATTTACCTGTCAATTTGATTGCTGGTGCCCCCTTGGCTCCTGTCAGCTTCCGCAGCTCCTCTTTCCATCTTTCCACCAAATGTGCTTCTAACTTGCAGTCCTCCGACCCATATTCTTCGCCCACCTTCAACACCTTCGGGTTGTTCATGCAGTGCCTCTCCCAAGCTCCCCAGATGCGGCGCCCCAAGTTCTGCAGCGTCGGAATCCCTTCCACCACTTCCATCGGGTTCTTCATGCCGCCTACGAAGCCTTGCTGGTCCAACCTCTTTTCTTTCTGCTTCTCTTCCTTGAGCATGCCATACTTCCCTTCCCCCGGCTTCCAGCGTAGGTCCACCTTCTCTCCTCCCTTCCTGTCTCCTCTTCTCGCCTCGCCGCGGCTCCTGCTTCTCCTTGAGGCCGACCTCCACCTTTTCTGTGCCCTCTTCCCCTCCAGCTTCCTTTCCTCCTCCTTGCTCTTCCTTCTCCTCTTCTTCTCCTTGTCCTCTTCCTCTGCCTCCTTCTCCTTCGCCTTGTCCCTGCTCTCTTCCCATCTTCGTTTTTTCTTCCTTCGTCCACTCTTCATCAACTCCTCTCTGAGCTTCGGGTGTAGGCGACAATTTCACCCCTTCTTTGTTCCTTCGTGTCCTCATCGATGTCGCCTCCGCATCACCCGTTGCTATCTCGAAGTGCTGATGTTCTTCTTCCCTCAACCTCCCTTCCAGGTATTCTGCCGTCGCCATCTTCTCGAAGTGGTCCATCAACAAATAGGCATAGGCCCGGCAAAGTTCGACCGGGTACTCCCCCGACTCTTGGGATTCCTTCTTCCCGATGATCGGTCGATGTTTGGCTCCTCCGCATTTGCAGTCCCTGCTCAAGGATTCGATGCCGTAGAGAGTACCTGCAAATTGCTGTGGCTTGAAGTGACGATCACCACGTGCCCGATTTGCTTGGAAGGCACACGTGTTGAATTGGGCGACCTTGACACCAGCCATGCGCAGGTACCCCACCATTTCTGACATCCCCCCAAGCCGACAGGTGGTCCTCGACGTCCGATGGAGGAGGGTTCTCCATTGATGTTGGTCTGGCCACTATCGTCGATGTGGGATTCTTTGCCAGTTCTTCGGCCAGCTGAACCGAGCGCGCAAGCATGACTGTCCCTCTGTCGCATTCCGCTTGCTGAGCTTGGGAGTTGGACTTCTTCCCGTGTGGTTCGCTTCGAGTTCGAACTGGCTTTGGAAGGTTTGGGGCATCACGGAATCTCAGGCGCGAAAACGTCGAGCAAGGGAATCCTGAGTGGTACCCATCGATGAGGCCCTCCTTCGCCCACCTGAGATGCGTGTTGTAGGGCTCATCCAAACATAGGTCCTGGCCCCAATCTTTCTCCGCCGCTATCACCTCCACGTTCAAGCCTCTTTTGGCAGCTACCTGATGGATAGCTGCTCCAAGTGGGTCACGGGGTCCTGCGAAGTGATGTAGGAAGCGGAATCGTCTGGCCTTCACATACTTCTGTATCTTTTCTTCCAACCTCTCCTGGGGAGATTTCTCCTCCTCCTCTTTCTTTTCTCCTTTCTTTTCTCCTTTCTCCTCACCCTCATCCTCCTCTTTCTTCTTCGCCTCACCTTCGTCACCTGCTGCACGACTGTCTCCGGTCTCCTTCACTTCTTGGCTTGGCACCTGATTGCTGGGTGACCCGGCAACCCACAGGATGAACACTTGTGAGCCCGCTTCACTGCGTTCGTGCACTCCGCTCCTGGTGGCAATGATCCACACGGACTGTTCCCGTTGTTCCATGAGAAGCAAATGGGTTCCCCTTGCTTCCCTCCTTTTCCTTTCTTGCTTCCTCCTTTTCCCCCTCCTTTTCTCTCCCAACTTGATTCGCTTCGGGCTTCTCGAAGTCTTTGGAGCTCTTCTCTTTCCGCCTGCCATTTCCTCTTCTTCGCCTCCCGTCTGTCTCTGTTTCCTTGCCTTCTCGCCGTGGGTGTAGCCGCCGGTGAAGTTGAGCCGAACGTCCCAGACTCCATCGCTGGCATCAACGAGCTCGTACCTCCACGTAGTGCGTTCTCGGCGATCGATTCCTGAGGGGTCATCGCTCTTCCTTTCGCTCCGCTCGCAAGCCATGTGAGGGCCGGACTGTGTATCTGGTCCTGCCAAAATTTCATTTCGTTCGGCACCATGGTTTCTTCTCGTCGAAGTTCAAAGGGACCGGTTTTCCTTCTTGCTGATCCATCGCCACCTTCAACTTCAGCCTCGACAGCAGTTCCCCTCTCGCCATCTCGTCCGCCGCGTACACCAAATGCCAGGCGTCCGGATATAGCCGAGTCAGCTTCTCCACGTACAGCTCGTAAGCATGGAGGGGGGCCAAGGCGCATTCCTGCAGCATGATCATCGCCGTCGTGAACACCCTGAAGCATGCCCTCCATTGAGTGAAGTTGGCTGGACCCGGCAGTTCCTTCGACACGTAGCCCTCGGCCGTCGGTACCCAGGTTCTGTACCTCGAAGCCCTCAATGCCTTCCTTCCGAATGGCACGAACACGCCAAAGTCCGCGAAAGGAGGTTTTCCCATCGACAGCTTCTTCTTCAGGGCCGAGAGTTGTTCTATCGTAGGCTCTTCCTCCTCCTCGGGCAGGGATCCCGTCGTCGCGATGTACTTCTGGAGCAACGTCATCTTCGCTTCTTCTCCCAAGACCTCGAACTCGCCGTCGTCTCCTTGGTCCAACACTTGAGCGAATTTCAAAGTCCTGTCCTTCGTGGCCTTCGCATCCGGGTCGATTGAAGTGGGTCTCATTGGGCTCGAAGAGGATAAGTCGTTCAACCCTGAGGTACTCCATGGATCTTCCTCCACCCAGTTGTCCCAAGCACCTCTGCCCTTCGTGTACATGATCTTCCTCGCCAATTTCCACACTAACCCCACATGGGCGGCCTGCACGGCAGTTAAGGGGACATCCGAAGGGAGCATGGCCTGCGACAAAGCAGCAGCAACCACACTGCCCGGAAGGGCAGCGAGCAATCGCAAGTCGTTGCCAGGGGAGCCGGTCTCCTGAGTGAAAGCTTCCCAAAGCTCCGAAGTCACTCCAAAGTGCTGGAGCAGGTCGTCGACCGACTGCATCCCCAAGGCCGTGGCTGCCGTAGGAAACATGGCAGCAAAACCAAAAGCAGCCCGCGAGGAAAATCCCCATCCTACAAAGCCATTTGACCTTGCAGGGATAGGGACTTGAGCCAAAATGGCATCAAGCCACTGTCCCCACCCAGGCCCTACTCAGGGTTGTCACCCAGAAAATTCCATTCTTCCATTTTCTTCTCAAAGAACTCTCATAGACTCATATAGTCATAGCAAATCCATTCCAAGTTTAGTCATGTCTGTGTAAATCTTGTTGCTTCGATCACTTCCCATGTTCCCCCAGTCGTGATGCTCCCTTCGACCTCCTGAAACCCGAATCTTGAGACGCAAGGCACAGCCAGTCGTGCAGGACCCAGCTGGTCAATTGAAAGCAACTGCTGCTGCCAAATGGACTTGGCACTTCCTTGGCCAAAGCGTCATGTCCATCTGCAGGTCTCCCCCCCCCGTCACCAGCTTCGCCCGCAACGCGATCTCTTCGATCTCTTCGAAATGGTGAAGCTGAGCCCGCAACGCGATGCACAGCCCAACAACACCAGAAGGAGCGCCAGCATGGAAGCATTCCGCTCACCACGGACACACAAGGCACCTTCCCATTCCGAAAAGCGAACAGATGAAATATGAACGTTCGTGTGAACCGTGAACCGATCCATCTCGGCAAAGCAAAAAAGCACGGCGGTACTTTCAGAAAGTGTTGAAATCCAAAGCTCTGCGCTGAAACCTGGGATTTTCCCCCAATTCCAAACCAAAAAAATCCGGCACGTAAGGCGAGTCCGATGTTCATGTTCGCCTCCAAACCAAGCCATGAGAACGGGGACACCACTCTTCCAGGTCGCTTGGCGATGCCCCATGAAGAACTCCACACCTCGGGCGTTTCGACCGATGGCATTGGATGACCATGGGCAGAGTTGTTTCACAGACGTGACACCCTCCCAAAAAAAAGACACAAAACGATGTGTAAGAAGCTGAAGCATGTCAACCTTCCGCCCACGGTGAACTGGAGTATTTGGTCCTACGGTCCTACACTCTATAGAAGAAAAAGAGGAGCCCAGCAAGGAGCCGCGAGTGTGACATGGCGCCGGAGTGCTGGCGGCCGAGCTGCAATAGGTGACCACGGGAGTGCAGGAGCCCAGCATGGTCACAAAGCTCACGCTCGCTTGGCATCCGCTTCGCCATCGGCGGCACTGGGGACCTGGCCGACCTCCCAGGCGTGCCACCGCCCTGGACCTGTCTTCCCAGCCACGAAGTCAGGCGGCCTTCCTAGTCAAAAAAACGCACCCAAATATACATCCTTGTCAGAATCTGAAAATATGGGGAGCAACGCATTCTGTCTTCGAATTGATTGTGGTTCGTTGAAAGGGTTGCATTATCCAGGCGATACGCGGTGGGTTCACCTGCTCTCTGCCCCAAAGAAGTCTCCAGAAAAACATCCGAACACATCCGAACACCTGTATGTAATTTGCCTGAGTTGTGAAGCAAGAGAACACTCTCATGAAAGCTGCGGAGATCTTTCATGTCAAAAAAACTCAGGAAGACAAAACATCGGGCACGATGTCCTCTGAAGACTCAAATTCATCCGTTCTCCCGCAGCCGGATGGCTCTCTTTCGTTCTTCCATCACTCGTCCCCCACTCCCACCTGCGTGAGAGCGACGTTGTGGAGCAACACCGCTGCGCCACCCGCCACGGAGGCCGGCAAGGTCTGCAAGGCCATCTGCCACTCACGCCGGGCCGGTGGCCCAGCAGCCAGGGCTGTGAGCATGGTGAGCAGCATGTGGATGGCCTCAATGACCGGTAGAGAGTCCGATCTATGGTGCGACTGACACCGAAGACCCTTGGTCCCCAGGAGATTTGGAAGTTGTTTTTTGTATTATGATGTATTATGACAGGCGCAAGAGGAGTGTTGTTCCTGAAAGGGATGGTTTCAGATTGGTTTGGCGCATCTCAAAAAGCGCGATGTCATGTGGGGATGTCATGGGCCAGCTCCCTCATCTCTGATTGGAGGTGGGAGACCAGAGCTGGAGAGGCGATGAAGTCTGTATATAGATCAGAGAGTCTCTTGGTGTTCGTCTCTTGGAGAGCATGGACCTCCAATCCTTGAGGTCCTTGCAGCCACTTTTGGCGCATGTTCACCGACCCTGGGTGTTCTGCATGAGTCGTAGGTATCACGTGTCCCAGTCGTGGCTCTTGGGTTCTCCTGTCTGGTTCTTTATCTGAGACATGCCAGCCTCATCTGCAAACAACAAATGCTTGAGTTGCACAGGCTGATGGAAATCAAAGAAAACTCATTGAACACATTCTGACCTTCTCCTCAAACTTCCAACCCGTGGAACACGAGTCATGTGATAACACATCACCTTACCGACCTGGTCAATGTGCCTCTAAAATTGCCCAGTGGCTGTCAGAGTGTATGGGTAGGGCAACCCATTGTGCAGGGCTGCCTTCATTGCAACTTGGACCAGCGTCAAGGACAGCAGAAGTGTAGAAAGCGCAATGAAAGCAGACCAACCCTGGCAGACATGGCGGATCGAATTATGAGTTTAGGTTTCTGGTCAGGAATACAATATATATATATAATAGTAGTAGCAGCAGCAGTAGTAGCAGCAGCAGTAGTAGCAGCAGAAAGAACATCTTAGCCATATCTTTCGCCAAAAAAATTACTTGCGCGAACTCGAGAAAACATTTTCACCAAATGAGGTTTTGACATGTTCCAGGCTCATCGTAGTCAACGCTATGTATTAGGACCTTTAGATCGACAACCATATATTCACCTTCCGTTGAACGGCATGTCACACTTTCAGACAGTCAAATGAATGGAAACGGGATAGACACTGGAAAATGATGATTGGCGCCTGATAGACAAGCACCGGAGCCAATGCCGCAACCACCTGCGTTCACTGCGTTGACATCGTCTGCGTTGACCAAAGGGTGTTGCACTTGGAGCTCTTCAACACACCCTGGGCGCAACTTCTGGACATCCTTCTCCTGGACATCCTTATCCTCAATTCACCTGAACAAGTACCTGAACATCCTGGACATCCTGCAACGGAACCCGAAGCACTTCTCCCACTTCTTTGGGCATCATCGCCGAACCAGACAGCAAAACCCCTCCCCCCCTGACACCCCAGATGCCCCGTCAACGGCCCAGACCCAAACGACCGCTCCGGAGACCACCGACAGGCCACCAGCGCTCCCAAGATCTGCGCGCAGATCAGCTTGCTCCGACGCGTCTCAGCACGAAGGCGGGGGTCCACCGAGGAGAAGGCCCAGATCCGGGCTCCTACCGGTGGGAACGGCTAGTGTACCCTGGTGTTGGGGGGAGGAACGGCTGGCCTGGCAGATCCAAAAGTTTTTAAAGATGAATCATCCACCATCATCGCTACTAGCAGCAAGGACGCTACTTGAAGGGCGCCTGGCATCGCTACTAGGAGCAAGAACGCTACTAGGAGCTACAACGATATACAAAGTTGATCAAAGTTGCATGTCTTTATAGCAGCAAAGATCCACCGATCTGGTCACCTTCCGAATCAAAGTAAGGGAGGTAAAGCAGATTAAGCAGATTCGCCCACTTCTGTCGTTTTACACACAATATCTGCGAAAAAATCTGGCAAAGCCCATGAACATGCGTTAAAGAACACTTCGGCATGGCATCTCCTGTGGAGTTGCCGGCAGCTAGTTGTTCATTCTCCGCCAGCTCGGCACCTCTCATTTGGGTTCAACACACATGTCCGCAGTGGGAGATAGACCACAAGTCACAAGATCTGCGAGCACCGCGGCTTGCTACTCAAATTTGATATTCCCCAGTCTCAGGGAAGACAAGATCAATTTCTTGCTGATGTTAATGCTTCAGTACCGTCTCGCACCTTACCTTTGCATGCTTTCGGAAAGACATGAGGTGTTTTCTGCTTGGGTTCCACCCATCGATGTGGGGCTCACCATGGGAGCCCTGTCCCCCCAATCACCCGCCCAGTCCCTGGACGACACCCACCTGGACTTGGCCGAAGCTCTGCCTCCAAAGGGTCGAAGCGACGACCCGTCGCCCGGCGCGGTCTTCTGCGCCACCCCGGACGTGCGTGGCGGTGGCGCTGGCGGTGTCAGACATGCGAGCTCCACGGAACTCAAGTGATGTCAATGTGACTCCAAAAATGTCCGAAGAGGTCTCAAATTATTAGTAAGTTAGTTGTAGTACATGGTGTAGTCCAAGACAAAACACCATCCGGACGAGAAACTACTTAGTAAGCTTTCGAAGGCGAAGGCCAGGGCCATGCTTCAACCTCTTGCTGACATCAGGAAGTGTCGAAGTCGATCTCCCCTGCATCCCACCTTCAGCAAGGCGGAGTGGGTTTGTCCCAGGCTGGCTTGCCTGGCACTTTGTGGAGCAACGAATTCAAAGGTATCGAATATCGAGTATCGATCGTCCTTCTACATCCTACAATATTTTACCAGAAGATGCCATGGATGTTACCATGGATGCCCAATCTCTGAAGCCACGACCATCTCTTATGGTTCCTTCAGTGCTGAGTTGTTCCTGGTTCATTCTGGCCAGTTCCCTGCCTGACTCCGCTGACGTTCTGCTCCGATGGGAGCAAACGAGATCCTCCACCTTAGTGGCAAGTCTTGGGTTTAGTCGGAATCGATCATCTGACATGCCCATCCTTGAACCGCTGAAGCAAACAGAAGGAACCCCGTTTTCCCAGATGCCTCGAGAAGCCGCCCAAAAGCCCCTGGTTTACTGAGCATCATGTGGCACCCAAACTTCGCCCAGTCACTCTTGGGGTTCACTGAGGAAGAAGACAGTCCAGGTACCTCAGTGCTGGGAGGTCACTGCATCAAGCTATATCAATGAAGGCTAAATGGAGGGTGTGGAGAAAGGGGGTCAGCAAAAATCACTCGTACGAAGTTAGTGCATTAAAAATACCTTCCACGAAGTGCTGCGAAGGTTTCTGGAATTTCGTTGCAGTCAGTTCTCCTACTGGCCCACCATTCCACGAACTGTGGACGAATAGCCTTGGGTTCTACGAATGTCCCACGCCTTCCACGATGTTAGTAGAATAGGTTTTTGCAAAACCCTTTCTGTGCACTACCCTTCCGTTTGCCTCTGAATCGAGCCATCGAGCCCTACGAGCCCTACGAGCCCTACGCCCCGCCCAGCGCACGAGAAGAACGAAGCAAGAAGCCAAAGACCTGGTCGATGGTCACAAATGTTCAGGAAACAACATCAGACGACTATGGGGAATGGAAAATGAGTGGACCGGACCGGTACAGCATGTCGAGCAGTTGATTGCAGTCTGAACAACGTCTCTCTTTCCCATCTTCGCATGGTTTTCTCCTTCTTTCAAGCCAAGATTTTGCTCATTGAAGCAAGCTCAGGTGTTCTTGGACTTTGATTGAAGGGCTTAGGGAGTTCTGAAGCATCGCTATGTTGTTCAAACATGCGCCGAAACCTGCAACTGAAACAACCAATGACAACCATTCGACATCACGTACGTAGCAAACGTGGTGTAAAGGAAAGTCTCAAACAAACCAAAAAAAGGATCGATTCATCCTGGGACCAAGGTGTTAGTTCTCTCTGAAGTCCATGAAGAGTCGTCGAGAGGGCAGGTTTACGAGTTCCTCGTTGTGTCCCACAAAAGAGTTCCAATCTGTTCATGGACACAATCTGTGACCAGGCCTATGTCCATGAACAATCCAGCCATGCACAGCAAACTTGATTTGTGCCTTTTCCAGACCATGAAGTCCAAAAGCTTCACCTCGGTGTGAACAACCATACCAGGTGCAATTCGATTCGTCGTACTCGGCTGTTCCAAAAAAACAAAAGCTCCAGTATAATAGTATAATTCAGTGTATTGATGCCAACAGCACTGAGATACATGAGAGCGGCTGCCATTTCATGGTGGTTCTCAGCGTCTTCCCATGTTGATCGTCGTCCATTGATCATTCAAAACCCTTCAAACCCGTTGCGACCGTCTGAAACGACGAGCCCGGCACGGCCAGGTCAGAGGGTCGCGCCACCGCGACATGTGTCGCGTAAGGGGCTGACTTAGATGGGGGTCGCTCACAGCCAGATGCTGGTGCTGCGGCGTTTGCGCCATTTCACGGGCGCAAAAAGAAGGGACGAGAGACGAACGGTCCACAGCGTGAAAGAAAGCGATTTAAAACAAGCGTGAGCATAAGACCTATAGAAAAGGATTTGGTGGTATATCTTGCCACCCTTGTCATGTGTCATATCTTTCAGAACATACTATGAAAATACGAGATAATACAAAGATCAAAAACAGTTAATATATACCTGGGGTCCCACAAACCATCAAACACCTGGTTTTCCCTCGCAAAAACATGGCTTTTGTATGTGAAAACCTTTGTTTTTTCATGGTTTGGTTCGGGCCCCTGGTGTTAGTATAGACTGGACAGCAATGGAATCCATGGACCCTTCGAGACTTGTCCTACACAACCCCATGGCTTCCAGTGCGCCATTGATGCTCCCAGTGCCATTGTTCCATTCCACCTACGATACCGCTTCCATGAACATGAGCATAACATGAGCATATCATTGTGTTTCGCTACTGTCGTAGTGCCTAAGAATGCTTTGCTACTGTCGTAGTCGTCCAGCGTTTCATGTTTGTTGCTGCTTGCTTCCACCTGGCCAGCTACTTACAGCATTCCGTTGTCTCCAAGCATATAATAAGTGGAAGCAAAGTTTTAAACCAGTAAACGATAGTAAATCTCGGTATAGAGTTGGCCGGCCCTATCGGTTATCAATTCAGACATCCGAAAGGCAGCTCGCTACTAAAGTTCATGGATCCACAAAAAATTTGGTTGGTTGCTCATAGGAGTTTGTTGTCCCCTTTATCTCATGATGTCAAACCAAAATAATATTGATGGTAAATCATGCTGATTAGTTACCTTGCAGTGTTGCAACAAAAAGGTGCTGCAAGGGTGACTGACACTCTTGTACCGAGGCGAGAGCACCTTTCTCCGCTGACTCTAGGGCGTTTGTAGGGCGTTCACGAACTAAGCTTCCTAAGCTTCAGCTGCTCCTCGGCGATGACTAAGGCCAACCTTTAGCATCATGGTTTAGCAACAGGATCCTTTAGCAGCAGCACATGTGTTTGTCTTACTCCTGAGCCGTTTCCCTGGAAAATAGAGGTTAACCGCCCTTTTTCTACCTGATCTTGTTTAGTGGGGAAACCACTCCCCCAAAAAGGTTATCCACTGACTGGGCACGGTACGTCTTTTTCACCTTGTCACCTTGTCGTTGAACATCTTCGGTTGTCCGTTCACCCCAGCATCGCAGTTCATGAGCGGTCTCAGGGTCTCAGGGAAGGCCTTTTGCCCGGCCCTTCAATGGATGCTGGGCGAGTACCCATGGACTTCAAGTCCAGCTCTCCAATCGCTTCTTCCCTTTCAGTTCGGAACCTCGGCGATCGGCAAGCGGAAGTGGAAGTCTCCGTGTCTTTTCATGACGTTGTCTCATGTTTCTTTCATTTAGTTCGCGTGCTTACCTTACCATCCTTATAGTTGCCCTCGTTACGTCGCTTGTCTTGACCTGTTTTCCGTCTTCCCATCATGCTGAGACTGCAGCTTTGCACGCCATTCCGGGAGCTTCAAAGGTTTGCGAACACGATCGCTGACTGCGAGCGCCAGGGAGACCCCATCCGACATGCCGACGAAGTCTTCATCCATCCGAATAGAGTTGAGGAGAAAACTCTCCAAGAAAGGAAGGGCGTTCTGTGCTGCGTGGAGCTGCCCCAAAAACGAATGTCCGTGATGCCCCATGCCTGGAAAATCAGCCCAAATGAATTGGCCCGACAAGAAGCCTGGGCTCCAGCGAGGTCCGGCCAAACGGCATGGTTCATGACATTTCTGCCGGGCGCCCGGCGATCTGCATCCAACTGGAGGATCAAACCCAATTGCCGCAGCATGTACCTCGACCGAAAGGTGGAGGGTGCGAGTGGATGAAATGGAGTCGTCTTACATCCGGGGCATGTCAAGCGGCCTTAAGGAGGGTGCCAGTCTTGTATCCAACCATACAATGCATACCACAAGACTGGCATATGCATGTGGTTGTCTAGTATCACCAGTATTGTCTAGCATATACAAATGCATACAATGTGTAGTCAGGCCAACCACATGACGTGCAGAGTGGAGCACACTGTGCGCCAATGTCCACTGCTTTATGTAGTACCTCCCTGGGGGGCACTTGGTCAAGCGCATGAGACCCTTGTGGTCTTTTTTGACCTGTACAGTACCGCTGCGCAAACAGTGTCTGTGTCCACTTAGTAAACCCATGATGACTCTAAAGCTACCAAGTCATATCAAGTCAGACTCATAGCAAATATAATCACTAAATATATATATATATATATTGACTCATCAAATCCTTAGCCGCCCAAGCACTTCTCTAGTGATATGTGCACTTCGCTTCCTTCCACTTCAGGCTTCACGTCACCCACTCGTACCGCACTCGGAACCCAGGAACCCAGGAACATACGCTGAGCTGCTGGCTGACCCTGAGTACATGTTGGCCCATAAACATTGCTGCACGCGTGCTGGCAACACGTCCGGCCTGTCCATCGATTCGACGGACCGTGCGACAACGGAAACACCAAGCCGGTGCCGCCGCAGCGAAGGCAACGGCCTCTCCAACGCCTTGTCCATGGCAATGCAGGCTCCAAGCATATACCTGAGAGTTCAACTTTGGAACATGCAACAGTGTGCCATTTTTTGGCACGCGAGTTAGGGCAAAAAAGAAGTGTAGAAGGCCGGGGTTCAACAGAAAGAAGGCGAGCTATTGATCATCTACTGGTCATTATTGGTCTATTTGATGTTGCTTGTTGGACGACCACTATCATCCGACCTACTGTACTGTACTGTGTCTTGTAACTGGACAGTCAAGAGACAAAAGCGTGTGACATCCCAAATCTGAGCCGATCACTCTTGCACATTCTGCAACTCTGCATCAAATCGATATTCTGGGACTCTCTTGAGCACCAGCCAGGACCTGGCGAGAGGGTCTTTCGACTGCCATCTCAGCATGGCAGCGTCTTGCATAAACATGCACTGCGGCCTGGCCATGTTCCAGCATTGCTCGAACAACTCTTCATCTATCTTTTTGGCCTGACACGGGTTCGGTCGCCTAAGATCCTTCACCAAATGCCCTGGACCTCCCAATCCGAATCATATATTGAATCGTATTGAATCTCTATGTTGATCAAAAACAACATATGAGGAGACAAGAAACACACCCCAAAAGGAAGGCTGCTAGCACGGCACAAGAACGGAGGATCAGTCCCGTCGCGTCTTTTTAACCTCCGCACGATCACATTCAGCAGATTTCCAGTCTTGCGAATTACAGCACTGGTCAAATCGAGCTTTGCGAGTGAATGAATGTGTGCGTATTTGGCTCCTCCACATACAGTATATATGCATAGATACAGACTAATCATTCTCATTGTCGCCAAGTCGGTGTCCACCTCCTGCAAAGACCGAGAACCTGTCCCTGGCGAGGTGAGGCGGGAAAACATTCTTCCACGAAGCAAACATGAAATCTTGCTGTGAATGGTTTGTAAAAGGACGGATCTGCAATAATATGGTATATAAGAATCGCTATGATATAAATAAATTATATAGTGATTATAGTGTATATAACTACATGAAATTATATGACAATGGTATCTGACTGTTCGAGAATTACTGTAAGCTTTGACAAACGGCTGGGCAAAACTCTGACCTACAAAAGGCAACAAGGATATGATATAGCGGATTAAACGGTAATTAGTCGGAGACCTTTCACACATCACTCACAGCAGCAACAACAAAATGATCAAACATGCCCATTTCGATTGACCTCCCAAAACATGGTCAAACGGTCAGCTGCATGACCTTAGTGTTCCACCATGGAACACCCATGAACCCCTCCGTACACCACATCCGTACACATACCTCTCCGTACACCACGCGTTGGACGCGTCCCGCACCTGTTGGTGCTCCCGTGATCAGGTCGTCCCCAATTGGTATTCCTCTCCTCCCGCTGCGTCACTTGGGGCCTTGGGGCCGAAGCAGCGCGATGCGCCGAACGGACCAGGGACGGATGTGCCACGTGTTTCGGCACCGGGTGGGGTGTCTGGAACAGAAAGAACTCTCATCCCTACCGCCCCTACCGCTTCCCAGACGGGGGCCTTGCGTAGATGGAGGCCATCGCTAGTAGGTTGGAGGATGTTGGAGGCATGTAAGTGTTTAAACAAACCTAACCTAACCTTATCCAAGTCCTGGAACTGGTGGTTGGTCACCTTACCAACCTCTGCTGAGCTCCTCTGCCCCAGAAAAGCGGGCCACCAGTCAGCGCCCATGAAGCGAACGAAGCAAGTGTCCTGGCGGCGACTCGGCGACGCGGCGAACGCGTCGTCGTGAGAGGCCCAGAGGCCCAGCTCGTTCCACTCGTTTGGTTCTCAGCCAGCTCGTTCCACTCATGTCTTCATGTCGACACGTCACGGTTAGGACTCGGTCTGCCTCTCCACAGCCTGCTGCCTTTTTTCTACAGTATGCCTCATCCTCAGATATCCTTAGCTCCCTGACTCCCAGATGTTCACGAAAATCCCTGGTGCGCTGTGGGCACCTGGGGGCCAGCACCATCAAGTCCAGCGGCAATGGCGCTGACTTCCTTGCAGAACTGCCACCTCGGCAGGGACCATGGGTGCCCATTGGCCGCGGATGCAACTTGAAGAGCGTCCTTTCACGCTTGACCCGAAGGGCCGAGCCTGAGGAGTCGCGAAATCCGAACGGAAGTTCCAGCAAAGAAATGATCGGGTGAAAGCGTTTTGTTGAGGATCTTCCTGGATGTGGTCGTTCCCTTGCTTTTCGGCCCTCTTCTCTTCCGCATGTTTTTTGGCGGACACTGGGGCATCCCGCCCGCAGTACGCACCAAAGAGAGCGATGGATGGAGGCAGAATGGCCTTACTGTGAATGCAAGTCAATGCATGATACATGAATCATGAAGTCGTATGAAGTCAATGATATGTCGATACAAAGCAATATGACTTTTCAATGCGTCTCCAGGCTCCCTTCGACGCCATGCCACCGCTTGGAGATATATTGTATACCTGGACCTTCAAGGGGTGTCCTGTCTGGAGGTCCCGGATAGTAGTGTAGGGGCTTCCAGCCAGGTGACCCTTTTGAAGGTGCTGGTATATAATGATGTTTTCAATGTGGCCTCTCCAATTTGCATGATCTGTGACAGGTGCGACAGGCATCCGAGAATCCGGACCAACAGAGGAAGGAAGTGAACGGGCACGCCCTGCAAAGGATCTGAGTCTGTTGAAGTGCTGATTGGACCGGGTGTTTTGAGTGCTTTTGGCCAGTTTCGTACCTAAATTGCGGCATGATGCATGAAAACAAGGCTTTAACAGGATGTACCAGCCTCTTCCAGTGATATCAGTAGCATGACATGACTGACAAGCAGTTTCAACATTCCAACGTTGAGGACCTCACTGCGAACACCTGGCCTGGTAGCCTTGCAAGATCTGCAGAAGGGCCAACAACCTAACACACACATTCGTGGAAATATCGACGGCCAGGCTGCCATGGAAGTGGATAAACATCGCTAAACCATGCAATTCACATTTACGTGAACGTCCCAGCTGCCGGTGATTTTTTCGAGCAGCTGATTCACCAATCCGAATTTCTTTCACTGGGTCACTGGGCTATGGATTGGGCTATGGCACAAGTCCAAAAGAACTGCAGGGGTTGGTCGATGCTTTCGTTGTGTCGGTTTGACGGTGTGCCCCGTGTTTTCGTGTGCCACACCCACATGACCCCAACGCTCCATGTCTGCCATATTTGCGTACATTGGAGTGCTGGATGGTGGTTGATCAGGGGTTGTTCCAAGATGTTCCAAGTGGAGTTTCTGTGTGGTTTCAGCATGGCTGCGTTTTTGTAACAAGCACTGAGAGCACCGAACCCATTGAAGCCACAGCAAATGATGTAGGTTGGGAAGAAGCGATGTCCTTCCGACCGGAAAGACCGCAGCCAGAACCGCAGCCCGAAACGGTGAGGGTTTTAGTACAGTATGTTTATGTATGTTTTAGTAGGTCAGTTCACCTGCTCGCCCGTCCTTCAGGCTGAATGGCATAGGAGCCCATGGCACACAGAACGCCATCGTACCTCACAAGGAATCTGCCCCTGCAGAGGTCCCAAAGGTCCACATCATGGGCCCCAGGTCACCACGGTCGGGTTGGTGATTCGTTCAACCACCAGGTCCATCCGAGTCCATCCGGTTCCAGCACTGGTCCGGTTTGGGGGAGCTAGCATGGCACCGCTGTCGATCTTCGACCAAAAGTTTGGGTTGCCCCAGACGCCAAGACGCTTCGTTGTGCTTCAGCAGAGGCAAGTTCTCCAGGGTCGTTTCCCTAGACGCCAAGACGAGTTCGCCATAAAGACGCCAAGCAGAACAGGCCTGTTTTGCCCCAAAATTAACCGAAGGATGCAAAGGGTGTTCCATTCTCAACTCTGGGAAACCACTCCATTCGGGAGTTCTGGGAGGCGAGGCATCCCTTCTCACTGGCTGAGTCCGAAGGCAGTACGCCGGGGGCACAGTCCACCCACAAGGTCGCCACGAGACAGCTTTAGCAAGGTGAGAATTCCCTGGCTGTAGACCTGAGCCCATCGAACACCCAGGACATCGTGGCGTTCGAAGTGGTGAAGGCAAACCGAGTTCCGTGAGGTTCCGTGATTCCGTGCGCGAGAATCCATCATTGCCTCCTAGGTCAGTGGATTTTGGAGACTGAAAACACTCCCCAACAAGCTCAAACGACGTCAGCTTGGATCTGGATTTATCTGGAAGACCTCACACCAAAGTTATATCCCAATGCCAGACTTCACACCCCACACCGCGTCATACCGCGTGATCACGGCCCCCCTGCGGTGATCACGACTCCACGGTGAAAGGCCTGCGTCCGGACGCGTCCGGACGCGTCCCGTCGTCCCGACCGAAGACGCCCATTCGACTGACTCCCAAGGCCTCTAAACCAGTCCACCCTAGACATCCCTAGACTTCCTCAGGTTTCCCTAGGAAAATGACACCTAGGCCCGGCCGACTTCCTCAGTGTCCAAAAGCCCTAAACCCTTCTTCCACCTGTTCAGCGTCCGATGATTAGCACACGGTGAAAACCACGTTTCACCTCAATGAGAAGAGTGGGGAAACCAATCCCCCAAAAAAGCGTTTGCAGGTTTTCCATGGTTGCCGGCAGATCCAAAAATAGAACATGCAAAATTCATTCGTTAAACAAAAAACAACTGAACATGGAACATGGTATGAACATGGTTTCCAAGTTCTCCATTGTTATCCACCCTCCCCCCCCAAACAACGCGCGCTTTTGCGCATCGTCCGTCTCGGTCATCGGCTCCAAAGGAAGTCAACATGAGTTCTTTTTGAGAGATCCACTGGACTTGAGAAGAAGAGGCTCCATAGAAGATCATGTCATGGCGTGTCTCCTTCCTCGCCCTCTCGGGGTCGACGTCTGATTCGGTAACCAAACGGTCTGATTCGGTAACTATGATTCGATAACTAAAAGCGCTGATTCGATAACTAAAAGCGCTGATTCGGTAACTAAAACGTCTGATTCGGTAACCAAAACGTCTGATTCGGTAACCAAAACCGCTGATTCGGTAACCACAACCCGCTGATTCGGTAACCAAAGCCGCTGATTCGGTAACCAAAGCCGCTGATTCGGTAACCAAAACCGCTGATTCGGTAACTATGATTCGATAACCAAAACCGCTGATTCGGTAACCAAAACCCGCTGATTCGGTAACCAAAACCGCTGATTCGGTAACCAGAACCGCTGATTCGGTAACCAAAACCAGGAAACCAAAACCAACACATTTCCAAAAGAAGACACTGATGTCCTGGGTAACCAAAACCGCTGATTCGGTAACCAAAACCAGGAAACCAAAACCAAAACATTTCCAAAAGAAGACACTGATGTCCTGGGTAGTAGTAGTAGTAGTAGTAGTAGTAGTAGTAGTAGTAGTAGTAGGTGGTGGTAGTGCCACCAATGCGAAACCCCTCGCGCCGTCAACCATTAATTCTTACTTGAATGAATGTAAAAGCCCTTTGGATC